CAAACTTACTTCTTATTTTGCACAGACATTTGGCCTCTCTCTCCCAAGACGACAGAGCTACAACGCTTTAAATAGGACTCGAGAGGAGATGGTCACATCAGCGGTGAAATAAGAACAGGTGTAAAACATGCATTTGGCTGAAAACTGGCTATCTATTACTGATCCAGTTCTCAATATGAAAGGCCAACACCCCCCACGCTCCAGCGCAATCCCCACACAATAATAAAAATGAACATTCACTAACAACAGTGATCCCTGTGATCAAAGTGCTCCGTGCTCTCAATATAAAAAATGAAAAAAAGAGTCAATGTCAGCAGTGAAGCTGGTTCTACTCACGGCCCCTGCGCATGCACCACGGTCCACCTAAACATGTCCCTGAGCCCAGCAGCGACCATGGAGTATTAATCCACAGTCTTGTGAAATCCACAGTGGTAATCCAAAACAAAATAACTCCAAAAGAGGTTATAATCCGCGGAAAACGGGTCCTCCAGGTTTTTTATTTTATTTTTTATTTTTATTTTTTACTTTATTGAACATTTACAAACATCAAGGCACAACACAGTTCATAATACCTTGTCAAGGCATATTCGGTTGAGTTGAAAAAAAAAATCCATAAAGTGCAAAATGTGCAAAATGACGGCAAGTTGAAGAAAAAAAAACATAAATAGAAGTAACAACCAAAAATAGATAATAGATACCAAATAATAGATAGAATAGATAGTCCTCCAGGTAAAGCTGCTCCAAGTCGGCATCTGACGTCAGACCATGCACTGCATGAAAAGTGTGATTTTCGTCTCTTTTCGGCCCTGTATATTACTGTGAAACTTCTGGGATTCGGCAGTTTGTTGTCCCCTCCTCCCTCCTCCACAGGAGGCTTTAACATGTAAATGGCAATGCTGTGAGCTATACAAATGCTAATCAGGGTTGAGGGGGAGCACACCGTAGACCCGGATTTTGTAAATGCTCAAACACACACACACACACACACACACACATATTTGATCATGATTGATTATAGCTTGTCATGTCAAAATCAATTAAATAAATCTAATAGGACAAAAGACATGTTGAAAGTGTAAGTGCTCATCTCATGTATGTACAGTACAGACCAATTTTTTATTTTTATTCATGACATGAAAGATGTGTTCTATTCTCGGTTCAAATTATATATATATATATATATATATATATATATATATATATATATATATATATATATACTAGGGCTGTCAAACGATTCATTTTTTTTAGTTGATTAATCGCATAGTAATGGTGAGTTAACTCACGATTAATCGCATGTTTAACATTCTATTTCAAATCCACTCCAATTGAAGTTAAATGAGATTATAAAATATATAATTACCAGTGTTGGGTAAGTTACTTTGAAAAAGTAATTAGTTATAGTTACTAGTTACTTCTACCAAAAAGTAATTGACTCACTAACTGAGTTACTCCACTATAAAAGTAACTAGTTAGCAGTAAAAGTAACTATTGCGTTACTTTTTCGTTTGTCGTGGTACCGAGCTTTAGCTGGCTGTAATTTAGGATAACTTCTAAGTAGATTAATTGTTGCAACAACCCCACCCTATTTTAGTATGATATGTTAGTTTAGGGAACTGTCCTGCAGGCAAACAGGTATAAGACAGGCCAAGGTGCCATTTAATTAAATTGCATTTATTTTTATCCATTGATCAAACAAACAGATTACAAAACTTGCAATTGAAAGAGACTATTTTAAAATAATTAGTTCCCAAAGACACACACGAGCAACACTCGCGCCTGACAGTCAAGAACCAGGGAGAATACAGTGCGCAGAGCGCGCCTGACAGACAAGAACCAGGGAAAATACAGTGCGCAGAGCGCTGAGTATGTGAACGGAGCAATCGCTTGCTGCCTTTATTATAATAGCTAGATCCATGCTTGCAGCCCGTGCAAAGCTCGCACTCACTCACAGCCGCTAACAACAACCAGAGCGGCCACGGAGGAGGCCATCTCACACGCAGCATTCTGAGTGATATTCTTATGGATAAATGGGCGGGTATTTAAAAAAAATAATGCGTTAATAAAAAATGTAATTAACGTGAGTCAAAACGATAATTTTGACAGGTGCATTGCGTAAGTTAAAAAATGCCATAATGCAATATTTTGCATCTGTGGTCCATCAGCAGTTGCCTGGTGTGTAAACTGAGCATTAGCAGATTCACTGTGGTTGCTTCTGTGAGCGCATACAGTGATTGAGAAATCCCTGACTCGGGTCGCTTTCTCGCGCGCTGTTTAAGCGGAAGTGACGCAATGCGCGTGCCCGTTCACTGTTTTGGCTCCATATGTTCCCTCGCGTTCAGTGGATCTGTCCCGTCCTCGTATCACGCGTATTTGAAGATGGATCCAGCAGTTTCTCTAAGAGACCAGCTTCAGAATCACCGTCTGGAACTCCACGCCAAGCGAAGAGAAAAAAGATTGTCACCAGTGCTACGAAAAGAGCGAAGCGAGAGGCCGACCGGCGGAGAGCTCAGACCCGAGTCGCTCTCGCCCATGCGTTTGAGAAATGGAGAAGCCTCCGAAACGCTCTGGGGATAAAAAATGATCCTCATTTGGCGTTTATCTTGATTAGAAGGTAAGACGGTGACTCAGTTCTAAACGTCCTAGTGTCTTGCACGAATACGATGGCGCCTCGTACGGTCGACATGGCTCTTTGCTGCTCTCTTTTTCTTTTGTTTTTACTTTTTAACTGTGCATCTGGCTGTTCCTACACCCGTGAGGAACTTATGAACATCCGACCCACCGTTCCCATGGACCTATTGCCTGTTTTCTTGGCATCTGCGGCTGATTTAGTTCATGTTCTAGCCAAAAAAGTGTGGGCCCGTAAAAGGGGAAAGCGAGGAGGCCTGCTCGTGCGTCTTAGGAGGAGAGGAGCGCGCACGGCTCTCCCCGGCATTTTTCTCTCCAACGTACGCTCACTGGGCAATAAGATGGACGAACTCAGCCTGCTCATGAGAAGAAACAAGGACTTCGCCACATCCTGTGTCCTCTGCTTCACTGAGACCTGGCTAAATGAGCGGATCCCGGACTGCGCTCTGGAGCTGCAGGGCTTTGGGCTGTTTCGCGCGGATCGCCATTGTGCGCTCTCAGGGAAGAGCAGAGGCGGAGGGCTCTGTTTCTACGTCAATACAAACTGGTGTAACGATGTGACAGTGATCTCCAAGCACTGCTCTCCTGCTCTGGAATATCTTTTCATTCATTGTAAACCATATTACTCCCCGCGGGAAATTGTTTCATTCATTCTTGCCTCTGTTTACATACCGCCATGCGCGGACGCGCGCGAGGCTCAGCGCGCACTCGCAGAGCAAGTACTGTGTATGGAACGCTTATACCCGGACTCTCTGATTATTATCCTGGGGGATTTTAATAAGGGAAACTTGAGCCAGGAATTACCCAAATACAGACAGTTTATCAAATGCCCGACCAGAGAGGAGAACACTCTGGATCACTGTTACACCACCGTGCGCGGAGCTTTTCGCGCTGTTCCCAAGCCAGCCCTCGGCTTCTCAGATCACTCCATGATACATCTGGTTCCTGCTTACAGACAGAGACTAAAGCTCTCGAAACCTGCAGTGAGGAGCTCCAAAGTGTGGTCTGATGAAGCTGTGGAAGAGCTGCGCGCATGCATGGAATCTACAGACTGGGACCTTCTCAGAGCTGCCACAGACAGCTTGGATGAATATACGGACACTGTGACGTCATACATCCACTTCTGTGAGGATAGCATCATTCCAACAAGGACCAGGGTCATCTATAACAACGACAAACCCTGGTTCACTGCTAAACTCCGGCAGCTCAGGAAAGCAAAGGAGTCTGCTTTCAGGGAGGGGGACCGCAGCGGCTACAAAGCAGCTAAATATCAGTTCAGGAAAGAACTGAAAGCAGCCAAGTCCCGGCACAGAGAACGACTACAGGAGCAGTTTGGTAACAACGATACTGCTTCTGTCTGGAGGGGCCTACGGGAGATCACCAACTACAAACCCAAAGCCCCCCCCTGTGCTGATGACCACAAGCTAGCTGACGATCTGAACCTATTTTTCAGTCGCTTTGATGCTGCCCCTGACACCTCTCCCTCCCCCACCCCCCACTACTCTAACGACCCACCCATCAGCCCTGCCCCCAGCCTAACAATAGTCGCTAAAGAGATTAAACAACTCTTCCTGAGGCTGCACCCCCGCAAAGCTCCTGGCCCGGACCACGTGTCTCCGGCCACTCTGAGACACTGCGCCAGTGAGCTTACTCCTGTGTTCACGGACATTTTCAACTCCTCTCTGCAGTCCTGCCATGTCCCGGCCTGCTTCAAATCCTCCATCATTGTCCCCGTCCCGAAGAAGCCCAGGATCACAGGACTCAATGACTACAGACCTGTAGCACTTACGTCTGTCGTCATGAAGTCATTTGAACGCCTGGTTCTCTCCCATCTCAAGTCCCTCACCTCCCCCCTCCTGGACCCCCTGCAGTTCGCCTACAGAGCCAACAGATCTGTAGACGACGCCATTAACCTGGCCCTCCACCACATCCTACAGCACCTGGACTCCCCGGGGACCTACGCCAGGGTCCTGTTCGTGGACTTCAGCTCTGCCTTCAACACAATCCTGCCATCCCTGCTCCAGGACAAGCTCTCCCAGCTCAACGTGCCCGATTCCACCTGCAGGTGGATCACTGACTTCCTGTCGGACAGGAAGCAGCGAGTGCGTCTGGGGAAGAATGTCTCGGACTCTCGGATTATAAATACAGGAGCCCCACAGGGCTGTGTTCTTTCTCCCCTGCTCTTCTCCCTGTACACCAACCACTGCACCTCCAGCCACGACTCCGTGAAGCTGATCAAGTTCGCGGACGACACCACCCTCATTGGACTCATCTCCAACAACGATGAGTCCGCCTACAGGAGGGAGGTGGACCGGCTGGTGTCCTGGTGCAGTGGTAACAACCTGGAGCTGAACGCCCAGAAGACAGTGGAGATGATTGTGGACTTCAGGAAGAGCACTGTCCCCCCGCCCCCACCCTCCGTGATGGACTCCCCCATCACCTCTGTGGAGTCCTTCCGTTTCCTGGGCACCACCATCACCCAGGACCTCAAGTGGGAGCCGACCATCAGCTCCCTCATCAAGAAGGCCCAGCAGAGGATGTACTTCCTGCGGCAGCTCAGGAAAGCCAAGCTGCCTGCACAGATGTTGGTGCAGTTCTACACGGCCATCATCGAATCCATCCTCACCTCCTCCATCACCGTGTGGTTCGCTGGAGCCACAGTCAGGGACAAACAGAGACTACAGCGCATTGTGCGCTCTGCAGAGGAAGTGATCGGCCGCAGCCTTCCATCGCTGCAGGACCTGTACGTCGCCCGAGCTCGAGGCCGGGCTGGTCGTATCACAGCCGACCCCTCTCACCCTGCACATGGACTATTCCAACCACTCCCCTCAGGCAGGAGGCTGCGGTCCATCAGGACTAGAACCTCCCGCCACAAGAACAGTTTCTTCCCCTCTGCTGTTGGACTCTTGAACACTTCTTAACCTGTCCCCCCGCCCTTTATAAAGTCACTTTACTGCCCATCATACGTCACTTTACTTCACTGTACTGCTGTCACCTTACATTGTGTGCACCATGTGCACTTGTATATTGTAAATAGTAACTGTAACTCTATTTTAAATTTAAATTTATTCTTTAGAAGTGTTTTTTATTCTTATTTTTATTATCTCTTTTTGACTGTTGCACTGAGCCAAAGCAATCTCCAAGTCTGTGACCTCCCGTTACTTACGTTGGCAATAAAAATGATTCTGATTCTGATTCTGAAGAGATATAGCATTATTGTGTGTTAGCTTTTTGACTTAGCAACATGGACTGATTCCATTTGGTTCGGTTTTTTTCTGAACAGTAACAGATTGGCGAGACACATTCAGCATTTTTTTTGTTCTGTATGAAGAATGTCTAGAAATAATGACTGTTACGTTGATTAGTGCTTTTGAATGAACGTTAGCATCTGTTAGCTTAGTACAGCTGTGTACATTATTGGGCTGCTACTGTGCATGTAAACCATTATGAAACTTGCAGATGCAGTGATTATGTAACTGTACTATATGTACCTCAGTACCTGTACTATATGTATCGTAGAGTTGCAGACTATATTAGTAATATAATGTGGTTAGTCCAACTGTAATACAATGAGATGCATGTGTGTATAGGTAACGTGTATTTATTTACTTTATAGCTATGAAAAAATGATGGCATCAAGGAGTCCCAAGGCCTCAACTCCTAAAACCACTACTGCGACTGGTGATCTCCCGAGTTCAATCAGTCCCGTAGAATCTGACCGGTACTTTTTTTTCCCAGAAAAATGGGATTGGCATTATGTTTGATTCAAGCCTTATTGACAATTTCACTGAAACAAACTGTATTTTTTAACAGGGATGACTTATCTGTGGCAGGGGTGCAGCCTTTTATAGAGGAGAAAGAGCTGGAGGTTTTGGAGAAAAGGTAGACATGCATTCACATTAAGATGTACATTGTATTCTTATCAATCAATCAATCAATCACGTTCTAGGGGCACATCAATCATATTGGAATGGGTGAGTGAATGCTGAAATTAGAGATTGGTATTTAGGGTAGGCAAAATGTGTAGTTATACATTTAGTAAAAGTTATTTGTTTCTTTCTCCATAGTTCTGCTCTTATGGACACAAGTTATGGATGTGGAACAGTCAACCTGTACTTCGACATGGGATGCAAGGAGGGGATGCAAGGAGGCGATTTTATGTTATCTGCCAACTTATTACTGAGTGGTAATAATTTTGCTAAGATTGCCCTCCTCTTCAAATTTATGAATATGAAGATGGTTTCAACGACAACTTATTACAAAATTCAACACTCCTACTGCGTACCTGAAATAAAGGCATTTTGGGAGCAGAAGAGGTTGTCTATTGTAACTCGATTAAAGTCAAAAGATGGCATTGTGGCCCTTGGTAAGTAATGTGTTAAAGGACAATCTTTGTCGTATTTGCAGTCACTATAAGTACTATATCTGTTACAGCTGACGGGAGAATGGACTCACCAGGTAAGTCTGAAGCCTTTCACTTCACAACATAGTTATTGTGTATTACTTTGTGTTTCACCATATTTGATTCAACAAGGTCATTCTGCAACGTTTTTCACATACACAACGATGGAACTTGACACAATGGACATTATCAGTGTTGTCAATGTTGATAAAAGGCAAGTTGGTGGAAAAAGTGTCTCTATGGAGAAGGCAGCGTTCATCAAAACATTTGATGATCTCACGAAAGAATTAAAAGTCAAAGAGATTGTGACTGACGCCCATGTGCAAATTGCAGCCCTCATGCGTAAGTATTTTTGTCTGTATTATTTGATGTGCTATATTTTGTGCTTACTGCATTTTTGAGCTTTATAATAGATCCAGAACGGGGAAGATATATGGATCATGGAGTTACCCATTCCCTGGATGTCTGGCATGCTGAAAAAAATCTAACTAAGAGGCTTCATGCTGTAAGTGATAGTTCATATCGTTTCTCATTCAATTATTTTTTATAGACATAACCAAAACTAATAACTTTGATAGCGGGTGTCCTAGCAGGTCAAAAACAAATCCTTGGGTGGATCAAGGACATTGTTAACCATTTTTGGTATGCCTGTCAGCATGCAAGCAGCCGAGACCAGTTCATGGTAAGTAAAGTAGAACTAGAATTTATCTTCTCATTTTCACTATACCTTTTCAGTTTCTTATGTTTGCTTATTAGGACATTTGGCGAGGTGGGACCTGGGTAGATGCCTTCATGGTCCTTTGGGGGATGATGGCACTAAAGAGCCTGTACCAACTGGCTCTAAAGCACATGTGGCACTGTCACAGATCGTGCTGAACCGCAGATGGCTGAAGGATGTGGAGAAGTTCCTCACATTTCGGTAAGAGATCAGTTTTTGTTTTTTTGAATGATTTGTGTTTCTTCTATTTCCTACTTACTTTCCCTGCAGGACCACCTCACAGCTGGAATCATTCCAAAACCATATTCTGATGTATGCCGGAAAGCGGTTTGCTTTTTCATTTTTTGTTTATGAAGCAAGAACACTTCTCGCAGCTTTGGACTACAATCACCACAACAACCGTCCGGCACATGTGAACAGCAAAGGCCAAGTGTCGTAAGTATCATTCACTACTTCCTATTGACAAGTCATAAATATAGTTGTCTTCTAACGTGAAATTACTTATCTTGTAGCCTAAAGAGACTGTACAGCAAAAAATCGAAACGGTATCGGGTACACACTGTCAAAGAAGCAAAGGATTACAACTACATTCCTGACCTTCAGACACAAATCATTGGCAGACGACTTCAGTCTGCTGGTGGCCTCCCAACCAGACGGAGTATCATACCGGAGGACCCACGAGCACTTTGACCAGTATATACACAAACGGTTGTTGGTGTTATCATCACTCTCTTTACACAACCAAAACATGGGGACTTCACAAACTGAATGCGCATTTCGCGCATGCGCAAAACGCAACGAAATACTTTGCCTCAAGTCGACGGTGCGGTCTGGAACGTGAAGAGAGGACTCTTTTGAATGTACGGTAAGTGTTAAGACACGTTGTTCATTGTTATAAAGGTATAAAGCTAAAGAAGTGTGTTAAGAACGAGTATACATTCGACTATATTATCTTATAAAACTCGTGTGTTCGACCAGCTCAGCGGTGAATGCAGTGACTGTGGCCGTGTTCAGAGCCGCTCGCTCTCCCGGAGGCCGAGAGAGCTCTGTCCGGCCTCCGGGAGTTTACTGAGGACAGCGGTGAATGTAGCTGTTAGTAGCTAACTGTAGCCATGTTCAGAGCCATATTCCCGGCCCTAACTACACGGGCCGCCGCCGCTAGGAAGCTAGGAATCACATATATATGTGATATATATATCACATATATATGTGATTGCTCCGTGTGTGATAACTTTCTGTAAAGCATGGAACTGCTGCAGGAGCAGGGACGAGGCGCACAGAGCAGACTGCTTCGAAAGAACCGAAGGAAAAGCAGTTTGGGCTCATGGCAGAGCCTGATGTACAGGAGACTGTGGACTACAGTTCTGTGGAATATCTAACATATATCATTTGTTTTGCACTGTTCCTGTCTTTGTTTGAGCGCTAAGACTTTCACTTTTATTACTGTACTTTTTCATCTCATTTGTCACTGTTGTCTTTCTGTTCATTTTTTTTGTTTTTTTTTATTAAGTCCATTGCTTAATAATGTTATTGAGTGAATCTAGACCTCCTTTAAACACATTTGAGCAAAAATCATGTGATATTGTTTTATATATATTGATTATTCTTTTTTTGCTTACAGCGTGTTGCAGTCCGACAACAAGAAATAGTCAATTCTGCCCCACCTGTGGAAAATGTCAAAGCGCGCTGGCCAGCACTTTATACAGAGAGACAGGTGTGTACACATTTTTTACATCTATGCATTTTACTTGAAGTGTTTTATGTTGTTTTTTTTGCAGGTCCTGGCAGAATTTAACCAGATCACCAGCTCCAAACTGGGCAATGATTTCGTTGAAGCATTGGATTGCCTAACGACACAGTTCATCAAGCTCTTAAGGCCAAAAGGGGGTCTGCTGGCGCTAAGCTTTCCAAGATTGTCCGGCACCTCGATTCCTGTGTAAGTTCATAAAGCAATAACAAAAAGAAATGACATATGATTGTGTTTGGTGTTGAAATGCACATATGTACAGCAGAGGAGATGGAGAAAGGAGAAAGGTACACATCAAAAGAGGTACTGCTGCATTTTGTATCCTAAGATTTTTGGTACAATTGTAGATTGTCATTTTACATTTTCCACGTGTTTGTAGATGGTGGAACTGCAGGAAAACCCTGGTGACCGAGAGATCCTTAAAGATTATAATTCTGTGAGATCACTGTGAGATCTCCGCTCTCGAAGACAACTTGTCGACCTTCTCGTCAGTGACATGAGTGAAACACATGGGTATGTTGTATCCCTCAGTTAATACTCAAAAGTTCCTTCTTACAAGTGGAAGGATATTTACTCAAAATAAAATGAAAATCACTTGAAAGACCTTTCACAATAATCACATAACAATTCAGTTTCTCTCACCACTGTTATTGATTCCCCATTGTAAGATAAATAGTACTGATCTCTTTTATAAATGACCTAGGTAGATGTTCTCCTGTAGATTATCTCTTGGTTAGGTCCCTGTGAAAATATGTACTTGTAGATACTATTAATTTAGCCTTTTTATGTAACCATGAAGTCCTTTGACCATGACTGTTTTTTTCTCCTTGGACAAATGCCTTCCCGAAAACAAAAAAAGCTATGCTCTTAGAATTAACACACTTTTTTCATTGAAGGATCCATTTTCTCAAAAAGGTTATGTAAGTATTGTTCATGTATCCATGGAAATTGAATTTGGTTTACCTACACGTTTTGTGTCGGTAATGGATATGTATAGATACCAATCATAACTGTACACTTTGTTTTCAGACTAATCTCGCCTCGTAATGAGACGGTGACCTCCTATTTGCTTAACATCTTCTCCGGGGCGGAGCCCCGGAGAAGATGGCTGCCGGCTGATGTTTGTGCTGAACAGCTTATGCCAATCTAACAAATATCACAAAGAGATATCGACATCCAACTATTTGCCTAAAGTCCTCAGATATGCACTGAAGTAATGCTTCATGGCACTGGATCATTTTTGCTATTATCTTCATTTTTAGCAAGTTTTATGGTCTGTGCTTGACAAAGGCCTACTGGATCACCAGGAGGCCCCTACCACCACTTCAATGGCTAATACTATGGCAAATGATATGGAAGAAGTCACTAAACTTTATGTCAGGTGAGCTGACTAAAGTGGTAACACAACAGAATGATTTACTGAAACTGATCGAGGAAGTACATAATCTGAAAGAAGTGATTAAAGAGAAAGACAAGAAGATCGAAGAGCTGGAAAACAGAGTGGACCAGCTGGAACAATACACAAGAATGGAGGATGTGGTGATTTCTGGACTGGAGACTACACATCGCACATATGCACGGGCCGCTGCTAATGTCAATGAAGGAGAGGACGCACCACCAGGTGAACTGCTGACACTTGAACAACAAGTAACTCAGTTTTTCAATAGAAATGGGATCACTATTGACAGTACAACAATAGCAGCATGTCACACAATTCCTCAAAAACAGTCAAAAAAACCAAGTATAATCATTCGATTTGCAAATAGAAAACACAAAATTGAGTTGCTAAAGGTTGCAAGAAAGCTTAAGGGTACTGGTGTATATGTTAACGAACATCTTACGAAGAGGAATGCTGAAATTGCTTGGCAAGCAAGAATGTTGAAGAAGAAAAGAAAAATACAGGATACATGGACGAGAAACTGCAAAATAATGATCAAACTCAACGGGCCACCAGAGCAGGCCAAAGTTGTGACAATCAAACATGTCTCGGAGCTGGAGAAGTACAAATGAAATTGAAACTTATAGTAACAAGGGGAAAAGGCAAAGGTATTCTTTCTCCCAAGTTTTTGACTTGATTAGTATTTTGTTTCTTGTCATTTATGGATAAAAAGTATTGCATAGAAACAGGAAAAAACAATTACTTTAAAAGTTTTGATGACAAAGAATATAAATCTAATGATAGAGGAAATGATATTGATCCAGAGACTCATCTCTGCAGTAGCACTGAGTTGGACTGTGAATATTATACAGAGGAGGACTTTAACATGAGTATGCAGGGATTCTCACTCATACATTTCAATAGCCGGAGTCTTTATAGAAACTTTTCCAAAATTAAGGACCATTTACAAAAGTTTGATGACTTTTCTGTAGTTGCAGTCTCAGAGACTTGGATAAAGGACGGAAAAGTATTTTTGGACAAATTAGACGGCTATGAAATGTTTTCACAGAACAGACTCTATAAAAGAGGGGGTGGGGTTGCTCTGTTTGTTAGAACGGGCTTAGAATGCAGGGTAATCGAAAATATGACTTTTTCTATTGAGAACCTGATGGAGTGCTTAACTATTGAAATTAAAGCCAGAACAACAAAAAACATAATAATAACTTGTATTTATCGCTCTCCTGGTTCTTGTATAGATCAGTTTAATAAAAGGATTTCTGAGTTGTTTGAGCAAAAGGTTAACAAGTTGACTTTGATTTGTGGTGACTTTAACATTGATTTGTTAAAGTCCAATGAGCACTCACAAACTACAGAATTCATGAATACAATGTTTAGTTTGAGCTTCTACCCGCTAATATTGAGGCCAAGCAGGATAACAAAAGATAGTTGTACATTGATTGATAATATATTCTTAAATCAAACTGGTATAAAGACAAAAAGTGGACTCTTGTTAACAGATATTACTGATCACTTGCCTGTTTTTGTTGTGATGGAAATGTTTCATTACAATAAAACACCTCAATATTTGTTCGATATTGTTCACAGACACAAAACACCTATTGCTATTGAAGCCTTGAAATTTGAGCTCTTAAATTATGACTGGCAAGGAATCTATTTTGGAAATGTTAATGATTCCTATAATGCATTCTTAGAAATATTTCTTAATATTTATAATAAGCATTGCCCTCCAAAACGATATAAGCAAAAATGTAAAAAAGGATCTAAACCGTGGATGTTAAAAAGTTTGGAGAAGGCTTGTAAAAAGAAGAATAAATTATATAAAGAGTTTATGAAAAATCCTACAAAAGAAAAAGAGAAACTGTACAAAGAATATAAAAATAAATTAACAGTTATAATAAGAAGAAGCAAACAAGATTATTATGTTAACTTACTACAGAAATATAAAAAGGATATTAAGGCCACATGGATGGTAATCAATAAAGTAATAGAAAACAAAAAAGAGATGATTTTACCTACAAGTATTAAAAATGCAAATACAACAATTGAAGACAAAAAAGAAATTACAAATGCTTTCAATCAATTTTTTGTTACAGTAGGTCCTAAATTAGCCAATCAGTTACCTACTGTTGGAAATATTGAGTTTCCTACTTCAAATAGCAACACAATGTTCCTAAATGGCGTATGTCAAAGTGATGTTTTAGAAGCAGTATATCAATTTAAAAGTAAGAATTCCACAGATTGTCATGGTATTGATATGTCGCTCATCAAAGATGTCATCCACTGTATTGTTGAGCCTTTAACCTATATTTGCAACAAATCTTTTTCAACTGGTATTGTTCCTGATCAAATGAAAATGGCTAAAGTGATTCCAATTTACAAAAGTGGAAATAAACAACTTTTATCTAATTATAGACCAATTTCACTGTTGCCACAATTCTCAAAAATATTAGAGAAATTGTTTGAAATTAGACTTGATGTTTTTATCAACAAATATGATTTATTGAATGACCATCAATATGGCTTTAGAAGCAATCATTCAACATCCCTAGCAGTGATGGAACTTGTAGAACATGTTGCGACAGCTGTTGATCAAAAGCTCTATACAGTGGGTGTATTTGTTGATTTGAGTAAAGCATTTGATACAATTGACCATGCACAATTGTTGAAAAAGTGTGAATATTATGGCCTTCGTGGTAAAACAAATCAATGGCTGCAAAGCTATCTTAACAACAGATATCAATATGTAAAAATTGATGATGTGGATTCACAGTTCGAAAAAGTTACTTGCGGAGTGCCCCAAGGCTCGGTCCTGGGACCAAAATTGTTTATACTATATCTAAATGATATTTTCACCGTATCACCCATGTTTAAATCCATCATGTTTGCTGATGATACTAACTTTTTTTGTACTGGAAAGAAACTGAATGAATTATTGCAATTAGTAGAAACTGAATTTGTTTTGATCAAAAAGTGGTTTGATTATAACAAGCTATCTTTAAATGAAAACAAGACAAAATTTATGATATTTGCAGGTAACAAAAAAACTGATGGTGTAAAATTACATTTAAATGGAGTGGAAATTGAAAGAGTTTTTGAAGCCAAATTCCTTGGAGTAATCCTAGATCACAAACTTTGTTGGAAACCGCACATTGAATATGTCAAGCATAAGGTGTCAAGGTCAATCGCAATATTGTATAAAACAAGGAATTTATTGAATAAAAAAGGATTGTTTTTGATATATAGTTCTTTAGTTATGTCCCATCTGTCATATTGTGTAGAGATATGGGGGAACGCTGGCAAGACATGTATAGATTCTTTATTTAAATTGCAAAAAAGGGCTATAAGGATTGTAAATGAGGTTGGTTATTGTGAACCAACCAATAATTTATTTATTCAAAATAAAACTCTAAAATTAATGGATATTGTCAACATCAAAGTGTTAGAAATTGTTCACAGGGTTAAAAACAATAACATTCCTAAGCCTATTAAGAGTTTCTTTAAATTAAGGGAAAGTTGTTATAACCTAAGAGGTCTATTTATTTTTGAAAATGTTAAAGTGAGCTCCGTTGTGAAGTCTAGATGTGTTTCAGTTGAGGGTGTTAAGCTATGGAATGGACTAAAAGATGAATTTAAACTATGTATTTCTTTAATTGGATTTAGAAGAATGATTAAACAGAAGCATTTGAGTGATTACCTCAAGCTTGTATGAAATGAAATGGAGATGTGCATGTGTACATATCATTCATTATTCTGTCTGTAAGTCACCAAATAGTTGTTCTTTATTTTTTTGTTATTTGATAAAGTATATCATTAGTGTGATAAGCTGTTTTTTAGCATCAGTTATGTGGTTTGAACAAGGATAGGCATAAATAAGCATTGCTTCAGCCTATTCCTTTTTTGGTTGAATATTTTTGTTTTGTTGTTAGTGTTTGTAAATTTAAATGCCTCAACCAAAATAAACCATTCATTCATTCATTCATTCAACACAATATCTGCAATACAATGTGAA